TCAACCCTGTCGGGTGTAGGCAGTAACTACCAAAGACAAATGGATGAGGTCGCGCAAAATCCCTAGATCAATCACAGTTAGACATTAACACCGTTGGATACCGGCCCAGTGGTCCAATGGTTAGGCGTTCGTGAATAAGACCGAAGGTCCTGGGTTCGAATCCTGCGATTCGCAGGAGTCGTGGATGCGCATTGCTGTTGAGTCCCATACCAGGACGAAACGACCTTTCAGTGTTTCCAGATTTCTAATGATGGTCTAACAATGATTGATTGATGATTTCAAATGTGCAAAAAACACAAACTTCCAAAACTCTACCCCGAAAATTCTCTAGTGTGATAAAACATAACCAGAGGTTAGATGCACAGAAAAAAGAAACCCTGATGATCAACGCATTCAGAAATGAAGTAGAACAATGATGTACGTATCGTCACAAACATGACCTTGGAAACATAGAAAGTATGCAAAATCATAGTGAGAACAATGGATCACACACACACACAAAAGATTAGTGCAAATGTTTAAAAAATTCTAAAAAATATCATTGGGTTTATTGTTACAGAAAAACATTATGGAATTTTTAAATGAAAAACCAAATTGGTTGAGGTCATTCAAACAATCAGTCAGTATAGTGTTTCAACATTCTAATGACTATTTAGTAGTACACTTACATCTAGAAGAATTGATCTAATTGTGAGCGCACTTGTTAAATTATAACACTACTACAAAGTATTTTCACCACCTATTTTCACTGATTTTATTATTTTGAAGATATTAAGTTTAAAGAACTGGTAAACATTATGGAGGTTGATATTCATGGACTAATATCTACTGGGAACTCTTAAAATTTGGTAAGCATGAAGAAGCGTTGTTTTATTCAGGACTTCAGTTCAGTTATCCTAAATTTGTCTTATCACGAAACTTGAACGTGCAATAATCAATTATTGGCTAGGTTGTGAGTGCTGTTGTTACACGCGGTGCTCCGCTCTTCAAGTAACCTTACTGCTGGAGACAAAAATCCGTGAGGTGAGGTGTAAAATTTTTATGGTCGACCTTCTCTAACACCTTCCGTCGTGAGAAGGCAGCATCGCTGCAGATGCTGGTTATCCGAGGGAAATACCTTACAGTTGTCACATCCCTCTACATTCAGTAGTACTTCGTTCTCAGACATCGAGTTTCTGCTTTTGGTCTCGCCATTCTGCAATCGACCTGCCTGTCGTAGTAGAACATACAGGAACTTATGTTCCCGCAAACTTAGCTCGGTTGGGTCATCATGATAGGCAAGCTCGACCACAACGTCCAGGTAGTAGCTACGGTCGGGTGCGTTCATTCTTTATGTTCTCTCAAATTATAATCTGAATTCCTCATGACTGTTTTTTCGCTTTTTAAATTTACTTTACTAATCTTCCACATTACTGCTAATAATTCTACTACCTCTGCTACTGTGGGATTCGAATTGATAATCGTATCTCTGTGTTAATGTAGTATGGCAGCTTGAACAGATGTACGTGTGTACGAAGTTCTACATTGTAGCTGACTGACTCGCTGCTCGACTGCTGAAACTGATCTCGACCGTAGCTGCTACCTTGACGTGGTGGTCGGGCTTGCCTATCAAGATGACCCAATTGAGCTATATTGGCTGGAAAATATGTTCTTGTAGGTTTTACCACCCCAGGCAGGTCAATTGGAGAACAATAAGACTAAAAGCAGCTACTCAAGGTCTGAGGCCGAAGTCGTACTGCTGACTGCAGAGGGGTGTGACAGCAGTAAGGTGTTTCCCTCGGACAACCAACATTCTGCAGCGATGCTGCCTTCTCACAAGGAAAGAAGGGGTAGAAAAGGGCCACCCTAAAAATGTCACACCTCATGGATTTCCGTCTCCGTCGGTAAGGGCGCCCACTAAATGCATTCAAGAGCGGAGCTAATCCTCAAAAAACCTTCCATAAAAAGGTCGTGCGTCACGGGCCTGAAGCAGTTGTCCGTTGGGTTGTGCAGTCACGCTCCCAGGTCTCTAAGACCAACGCTAATCTATCCTCCTTTTCAGGTTCCTCAAGAAACAACCTTCCATGTCTTGGGCAGCCGAAAAGTGACAACCGCCCTCATACCCATAACAGCACGCGAAACCGAACTGGTCACAATCAAATCCTTCCTACGCTCCCTGTCATCTCTCTTATTTCCACGACTAACCGTACTCACATTCCTTTATCTCCCTGCAGCTCTGCTACAAACGATTTGAATCCTCGAAACGTTATTCCTAATCTCTTGAAGCCCCGTTCTAAACTACATGTTGGAGCATTTAATGTTCGGACATTGTATCAAATAGGGCAACAGGCATCATTAGCTAGGACTTTAGAATCTCGTTCAATCGATGTGTGCGTCTCGGAAACGCGCATACAGCATCCAAGTAGCAACATTCACTTGACCTCACCATGTCAGGATAAAGAAGCAACTTGATTTACTCTTCGTATATCCGGTAGCCCTGATGCTGCTCCCAGGAGTCTCGCTGGTGTAGGTATAGCATTGAGTCGTAGAGCAGAACTACCTCTCCTAGACTGGATCCCTGTAGATAGTCGCTTGTGCGCCGTCCGACTAAACGGGACAGTAAGGATTCGGAAGGATATGGACACTCGTCGTTGCCTCTTCGTCATATCAGCCTACGCCCCCACTGACTGCAGTTCATCCGATGTAAAAGGTGAGTTTTACAGAAAGCTTTTGGACCTCATTAAGACAATTAGACTGTGTAGCGCCATCCAACGATCAGTTTGTGGATGCTCTGGTCGTCTAAGTTCAGTTCGTGATGTAAATTATAATAAAATCGAGAAGTTGATAAATCCAAGGTGACCGAACAGATCACAAGGATATAAGAGTTAGAACTTATTAAATCAATAAATTAATGGGAACAAACATAATAATTAATAAAAGACATTAAATTTGTTTAGAATGAAAAACGGAATAGATTATGATTGCATTCACGTGACTCGTGTGTAGAAAACCTTTTATTTTTCTATTTAGGTAGACAACATATGATACATAGATAACCCAGAGTTAGGTTTTTACAGTCCAAGATAAATAGAACTCAATACTTTAGGTATTTCACTCATCATATGACAATTAATTGCTTACTTACGCCTGTAAGTAAGTCAATCTTTTAATTGTACTGCTTAAACAAATTATAAATTATTTCTTTTAAAACCAATCCGTGATTTTCAGTTCAGAAAAGAAAATTACTTGACGATTTATCTGTTTGTCTAAGAAACAATCTACAAAGAATAAATAGGATGTAGCTAGCAATGAAATTGAGGATGCGCGTTACGTCTTATCTGGGATTCGTCGGCCGGATGTACCTGCATCCGCTAGTTGATGTTCATTCCCTGTTAGGATATTCATCAAATATCCTACGAAGAATCATCTTGTAGTTGTAAATTTTATTGGTCAATATTATGGTCGTCCTGGCTATCAGTGTCACTTCAAATGTTCTTTCCTATTGGTCTCCTTAACTGTCAATGTCACGGACTTCGATGCTGTTTCCTATTCGACCTAAATGTATAGATACGCATTATCTGTAACGTTTTATGACGCGGATCCTAATCCAGTATACTTGTTCTCTTCCGTGTCCGTGTCTTCTTCTGGACTCGGGGATCATACTCTCTGGATGTTTGTAGAATGCAGGTTCTATTTCATATCAAGTCTTCTTTTATTCATTGGGGGTTTGGACACTCGGATTAGAATGACATGTCGTGTCACCGGATCCTCGCTCTCGTTTTCCGACTAAGACATGTTTACGTGTATGCGTAACACTCTCGCACTCGAACCTAGTACAGATTGCTTCAAATGCCATCACGTTATCCACTTTCTTACGAACTCCAGATAGCCTAAGTGAATCTATAGTTTACCAAAATAAACGTTTAAAAACTATTTACAGACATATTAAACTAACTCACACACGCAACAATAAATGCAAGAGAAGATGACCAGTGTAGCAGCAGCAAGATTCTCCGATACAACACAACATGCAGCAACCAAATCACTCTTGATGGAGATGCCTTGGAGGACGTTAACACCTTTGCATATCTGGGCTGCATCATTGACGTGAGAGGTGGATCTGATGCAGCTGTGAATTCGCGGATCGGCAAAGCAAGGACAGCATTCCTACAGCTACAGAAAATCTGGAACTCCAAACAAATATCAACTAACACCAAAATCAGAATTTTCAATACGAATGTCAGGATAGTTCTACTGTATGGCGCGAGAACTTGGAAGACTACCAAAGCCATCACCTGGAAGATGCGAGCATTTATTAACAGTTGTCTACGCAAATTACTTCGGATCTATTGTCCAGACAGCATCACCAACGACGTACTGTGAGAGAACAAACCAGATTCTAGTGAAGCGGTGGAAGAGGATAGAACACACACTGTGAAAAGCACCCAACTGACTCACAAGACAGGCCCTTTCTTGGAGCCCTCAAGGTCAAGGAACACATTAGACCGAGAAATGGAGACAGATATGAGAAGAATCAATAGGAACTGGAAGAGGAGATCCAGGACAGGGTTGGTTAGACAATACTGGTCGGCGGCCTATGCTCCATTGGGGCTGACACGCAAAAGTAAGTAAACCAACCTAATAGTAGTTACAGTTGATAATTACTTCGAAAGCAACGAGATTTTTCTTCCTCTTGTTCAATGATATACCATTATCTACATAGTTTGTACGTCAAATGAGTTAATAAGATTTCTGTCAAAACTTTGTTTAGAGATATACCGAATAAAAGTACATCTTTCAAAGTAGACTAAACATTTAACAATAAAGTTAAATGTAAGACAAGTATAATTAGTTGCTAGTCTCTTGCGATTTAAGATAATTCATTTACGATTTAGAAGAAAATTAATACACTGAACTATGAAAACTTGAATCTCATAATGCATTTTAGGTTGGGGAATAGATTCTTTACATCTTCATAAGTAATTTTGGTAGTCGAAACTGAGATGGAACAAGAGGATTACCTATCAGGAATGTGAATTGCCATATAAAATAATGATACAAATAACGGGCGTTGAATCTTTCAAAGCTTGTATGATCATAGATGTGTCTATTGCACAAAAAAACATTTAAATATTTAGGTTAGGACAGTGATTTGATTTACAGTATTTATATCAATTGCCCGTAATTTTATCATAAGTTCGAATACCACCCGTTATCTTATTGTGAATTGAAGAAATCCAAATCTGGCAAGCAAGTCACTAATTAGGTACTGGACCACAGTTGAAGTTGTTGCAGTGTAGACTTGAGAGAAATCAAGCAGTTATCACTGATGACTTTGAATGATAATTCAAGCAATATCATAAAATGATTGAAGTTAGGATCATACTACTGGATGCCGATTTAAAGTCAGTCAAAAACAACATAGAACTTCCTACGTAAGTACATCAGTTCAAGTTACCATACTATATTAGCACAGAGAGATGCAACTGTCACTTCAAATCCCATAATGGTAGAGGTAGTAGAAGTATTAGCAGTAATCGGAAGTTTTAGGGTTCGACGATATTATTCAAGAAGTAGAATCTAGTGAAACAAAGTTGATGAGGAATTCATTAGGTTGGGATTTGAGAGAACACAAAGAATGAATGCACCTGCACCATTGAAAACAGTTTTGAGTCATACCATTCAGGGTCTCTAACCGATTTTAATATTCTAATGATTCAGCGTTCACTGCATGAACTAAAATCTTTAGATGCAACCCTTAGGTAGAAGGTTAAAACAGATGTTCAGTACTACTGGATGATACTCCAGCTATAACAAACACTACTCAAAAATAATCGATAATTATTTAGTGAATCAACTGCAATTCAACATAATGTATCAGATAAATAATATCTCATAAAAATTAGTTAAGTACATGCAACGAACATCAATCAATTTTCACAAACTTTTTTTTTTATTCAAAGACTATATATAGTTCAAGTTTATATAACCGCAACTATAATAAATAATTTTTTTTAAGTGTAATAATAATATTATCAATCATAATAATAATAATGATACAACACCATTCAAAATAAACCATAGAATGAAGAATAGAAAAGTGTATAAGAAGGAATAATCACATTTACAAAAAAAAGCGGAAAAAAACAAACAAACGAACAATGTTCATTTTAAATTTTTTGGTGATATTCTTCAACAGAAACAAATAATATCAAGTAAACGAACTAGATGATACCTGAAAGATACCGTACATTTTTTTTTCAAAGAGCTACATGAAACAATGAATTGTCAATGCAATTTATAACTCGGTACAAATTTTTTCTTAATAATGAAGCTGATATTACTATGACTCATTACTCAAACCTGTTTGATGTGTCTTCTCCAATCTAACGGCTGTGTGATTGACAAAAAAAATCGATCGATTTTTTTGTTTTATACACAACTGACTCATCATATGAGAGAAAAAAAAGAGGAATGACCAATCAGATATACGAGATCATGTAGAAAGAAGAACAGAAGGAAAACTCTTAGCCAATCAGCAATCAGAGAATAAATGAACATGAAAACAAACCGACATGATTTACAGAACCAATCAAATTTGAAATGTAATGTAGCAGTCAGTATACGAGGTGAATTCAAAGTAGAATAGTGTAGTATTCAGTATACATTCATTAAAAATAATTAACTCATTAATAAGAAGCATTAGAAACATTGTGTATGTGTCAAAGATAAACAGTGTATATCTTTTAGAATAAAGTTGAAAAAAAAAGAAAATTGAGGTTATTTACTTACATTGAATTTTGTGAAATTATGAGAAAAAAAATAATATAATTGTAATATTCGAACATTTTTTTTTAGAATATATTTTTTTATTTTACACAAAAATCAATTGAAGATCAGCCAATTTTGGCGCATACAAACAGAACAGATAAAGAGAAAAAACAATAGAACATCAAAAAAAAAAGAGAAGGGAACCAAAAAAAATATTTTCAAAAACAAATATTTTTTTGAAAATATAATATTCATCATTAGTAGTTGTTAGATAGTTTTTTTTCAAACGATAACCAAAAAAAACAATGATGTGTGTATATGTGAGTTAGTGTGTGCATGTGTGTGTGTGGATGTTTTTTTGATATGAAGAATATATCATTATTTTTTTTTAATTCTAAAATAAATTAGCCACATCCATTGGAAGTTCAATAATTTTAGTACTATAGAAATTTTCTAAATCTGTTAATATACGTTGATCAGCTAATGTAACAAAATTTATAGCAACACCTTTACGACCGAAACGACCACCACGACCAATACTAACATTGATTAGATAGATAGATGATAAAAGAAAGAGAATTAAAATGTAATCAATGATTAGTTGATTCACTGGTAATGAGATGAATATAAGATTGAAATGATACATTTCTCATTTTTGCGACATAGTTTTATGAAGATAGTGGTTTTACATTATTAATCATGAATAGAGCATTGTTAGACCGACATTAGAAACCTGGACAGCTGTTTCTTTCTGTTATGCGAGTTATCAGCAGTGCCATTCCACGACGTCTGTTACTAGCAGGATTCGAAACTAGGACCCTCGGTCAGGCACTTGAACAATAAACCCCTGAGTGGGCATCCAACGGTTTATATGAACCAGCGATGATGATATGAAGTAAATCTAATTGTTTTCTGTATGTCAATCTTAGAACTCCGTCTGCAGAGCCTTTGGGATTACTGCGGTATCTACGCCCAGATCAAGGATGGGATTGGCGACTCATGTCGCAGAAATCCAACTCGCTCAACAACACTAACCAACAAAATAATTCACTGGTCGGCGGCTTGTGCTTCATTAGGGGTAATAAGCAAAACTAAGTAATATTATTCTTAGGCGAACCCTGCTTGTGAAACAGGGATGTCATTAAAAGCCCAATATATTTTATTTTAGATGGTGTGTAAATAGACATAAAAATTTTAAGTGTAAAAGCAAAACAAAGCAAAGCGGAGAAGTTGAGTAGGTCCACTCCTTTTCATGAGACATGACAAACTATTTATAGTCAGACAAAAATAAGCTAGACATATGATAAGCGAACCAAGTCATGCACATAAGCACTCAAGTAGAAACATCCAAGATTATAGGCGAATTAGTTGACAAATGGAATGGAATGACTCGAGTAGAATAAGTTAATGAGTTTGTCCAAAAAGCTAAGAGAAGTGATGTGCGCTTGATATATCAGTGCACATTACAACCTAAACTTCAGATTTTCATTTGGGGGGAAAACAAGCAGCGCACCGACTCTCCTCTGGTCTTCAAAACACTTCAATCATGCCATGAATTCCAGAAGTTTGACACTTCTCTTCAGTTGTAACTTCTAAGCGATAGTCTGTTGCTGCTGCAAACTACTTAGAGGCCATAAGAAGCAAGTAGTATCAACCACACACACTAACATTTATTTTGATAAGTTATTCCTTACAATTCAACAATGATACATATACGTATCAGCTTCTATGCTGCTAATCAATAACTTAATAACCAATATTTTTTAAATTACGAATAAATTCTTTTAAAATCAGTTGTAGTGTTCATGCGCGAATAGACTGAAAACAACAGAGATCAAATTTTATTCAACTTCTTAAAGTTGTCAAACCAGAGATTCGAGCAGAGGAAGATATCATGAAAAATAACTGAAAGTGAATAGAACACAAGTTGAAGAAAGTACCCAACTACATCACAAAACAAGCCCCACTTTGAATCTTCAAAGCCAAAAGAAAAGAGGAAGACCAAAGAACATATCATTATGAGGATAGTGTAGTGAAGGAGAACACAGGTGAGGACAACCGAATTGTATTTAACGAAAATTACAGAGTTACTCAGTAAAATAGGAAAACCATATCGTAACCGTTAATTTGCAAATTTTCAATCCATCATCAATCCATTGTCTGACATTTCACTATTCATGCGTTTCATACAAATTCCATTGTGTTCCCACTCTTCCTTTCTTGATCTTCCCCCATCTTCTGTTGCCAGACATTACGTTTACACTCGCGCGTCATATACTACTTATAAGTAGCGCGCACCACAATAAATGTAAGAAGAATGAACAACAATTGGAGAGAACTAGAAAGGAAGGCCTAGGACAGAGTTGGTTGGAGAATGCTGGTCGGGTGGTCTATGCTCCATTAAGGATAACAGGCGTAAGTTATCAAGTACGTACTTAATGTTGTCACGAATACAGTCAAAAAAGACATAATAGTTCCTTTTTTAATTCTTAAAACAAACAAATAAACGTACAAATAATTAAATAATTAAATTAATTAATGAATCAATTAAATAATAATTCATTTACCGATGTATATAACTTTCTAAATTTGTTGGTAAATCAAAATTAATCACTAATGAAATTTGTTGTACATCAATACCACGTGATAATAAAACAGTGGAAATTAAAATACGACTTGAACCACTACGGAATGCTGTCATAATATTATCACGTTCCACTTGTTCCATTTCACCATGCTAAATATTTAAAAAAAAAAAGGAGAGAGGAGAATATTGATATGATTGATTGAATTAAACACAAAAATGAACAATTGAATATTGATTTATGCGCTACGCAAATGATTCGAGTATGAGGGTGAGCTGCAACGATGCTGTCAAGACGCCCAAATAGAATTAAGTGGTTTTTTTTAAGGAGTCCCATAACCCGAGCGTTTGACTCAAAAGTCTAATCCACGAAAGGCTATGCGGAGCAACGTCATGGCTAAAATTAACTAACAATATGTTCATGAACTATTCGTTCCTTCAACATCCTGCAGCCCATGTGCATCATTGATTAGGAAGCAGGGCTTTTCTAGGTGGATGCTTTGTACCCACTAAGTCGGTTAAAGCTCGTGACATTTGCTTTTCATCCTTTCAATTCCATAAACAACACCTCTGCCACGACAAGGCAATGAGTAGGACTTCCAGGGCAGTGGCTTTATATATGCATGTGCATATGAGAGCATTTTGAATGAGAGAGGATTATCTACACTATAGACAGCACCAAGGCATTTGAGGTGCAAATTTTTCGATAAAGGTAGGATACGAACCCACGTATTTTCGGTCGATCAGTCAGTCAGATACAACATAGAACTTCGTACGTGCGCGTACATCAGTTCCAGTTGCCATACCATATTAGCACATAGATGCAATTGTCAGTTCAAATCCCATTGTGGTACAGGTAGTAGAAGTATTAGCGGTAATGGAGAAGATTAAGGTTCCAAGATATTAGTCAAGAGAAAGATAGAGCTGATGAGGAATTCAGAAGAGTAGAATTTGAGACAACACAAAGAATGGATGAATCTGCGCTATTCCAAACCATCTTGAACCATGTCATTCCAAGTCTCTAACAATCGGTTACTATCATCTCGCAGACCCCAACCAGGTACTATACAGTAACCAATAAGAGTCAATCCACTTTGTCAGTGACTTTATGGATTTCCGCCCTGTTTTGGTTTGGCCTCTCCTAGCTTTCTTTTAGAACTAGTGACTCAAATGGGGAGAATGAATAGGATAATGAGAATGTATAACATATACATATACACAAAACATATAAAACGTTTAATTTTTGACAAATAAACCGTAACATTTATTTAACACAATTTATATATGTATAAGGGGTTTATGTATTCGGATTAGTTAGATGTTATTTGTTTGTTGAAAGTTACTACTGTTCAACTATTTGAATATAAACTATTTAATTAGGAAGAATATAATATTTTGTCATTTTTCAAAATGAATCTTTTATTTTTATTTTACAGAAGAATTAAGATTGATGAAAATTTAAAATTGAGATTTACACATGATTGGAATTAGTTCAGTTTTAAACAAAACATGTATTATTGAACAAATAATATATATATAAAACTTAATGTCATATCCTTCCATGATTTTTAATATCTACACGGTTATGCTGATTGCATTATAGCGAGGTGTTAGGATATTCATCAAATATCCTAAGAGAACTATTTTTGGAAGTCTAATTCTATTGGTCGATTCCTATTGGTCAATATTATGGTCGTCCTAACTATCAATGTCACACACTTCAAAGCTGTCTCCTATTGGTCGTCTTAACTATCAATGTTACTTCAAATGATGTTTCCCATTGGACGTCCTAATTATCAATGTCACAAATTTCCATGTTATTTCTTATTCGACCTGAATGTATAAATATGCATTATCTGTAAAGCTATTCACTTCATTTATTCCTTCTTTCATCTTTTCTGTATTCAACCCCATAAACAACTTCATCTAACGGTATTGTGTTCTGATATACATTGGAGATTCGGGAATAGTAATTGGGGTCGTATTGGAATATCTGAATTTTGGTCAATCGGTAGGATTTCAAATAGTTACATAGCGTCATTATAACATGAGGTAGCATAGATTTTCGTTCTCATGTAAATTTATACAATTTATTTTTTGTTTGTTGTAATCATAAAGGGATCAATATTAGAAACCTGGGCGCACTAGACGGACGTTTCGTCTCAGCACGGAACTCATCAGCAATGTGCATCCACAATTCGATGAGCGTTATCTGAATTCAGTATCTTCAGCCTCGTGTGCAAACACCTAACTACTTGACCAATGAACCGGCATCCAACAGTGTTAATGTCTAACTTCATATTGTTAGGATATTCAACCAATATCCTGAGAGACTTGTTTGTAAGTCTAGTTCTATTAGTCAATTCCTGTTGGTTAATTCCTAATGGTCTTATATTATGGTCGTCCTGACTATCAATGTCACTTCAAATGTTGTTTCCTTTTGACCATCCTAACTTTCAATGTCACAGACTTCAATGTTGGTTCCTATTCGAGCTAACTCCATAAATACGCATTCATGACCTGGACCCGGATCCCTAGTCGGAAATCCTTATCCTCTTTTGAACTCGGACCTCGTACTCTATGGATGCTTGTAGAATACAGCTTCTACTTCATAACGATGAGGGTTTAGGACACTCAGATTAGAGTAGCCTGTCATGTCGCCAGATCCTCGCTCTCGTTTCCCAACTAAGGTAAACTCGTAATAGTGCAAGTAAATCAAGTTGATGTGTTTATATGTAACATGTGTAACACACATGTAACCAGCAAGTGTCTCGCCAACCAATTTTATTATTTAAAACAACTTACCATAGCTGATACAATAAAATCACGTTCAATTAATTCATTTGTTAACCATTCAACTTTTCTACGTGAATTACAAAAAATCACTGCTTGTGTTATTGTAATAGTTTGATATAAATCACATAAAGTTTCTAATTTCCATTCTTCTTGTTCAACATTCACATAAAATTGACGTATACCATCTAGTGTTAATTCTTCTTGTTTTAATAATATACGTACAGGATTACGCATAAAATGTTTTGATATTTCTAATACTTCATTTGGTATTGTTGCAGATAATAAAATAATCTATGATGTAATTAAAATAAAAAAAATAACAAGAACAGTAGAAAAAAATGAAGATGGTATTAGTTATTTTAGCCCTATTTGATATAATGTTTGGAGATTAAATGCTGTAACATGTAATTTAGAATGAGGTTTCAGGAGACCAGGAATAACTTTTCGTGAACTCGTATCGTTTGCATTAGCGGTGCAGTGTGATAAATGAATGTGAGAAGAGTTTGTCGTGGAGATAAGATAGATATTAGGGGGTGTAGGAAGGATTTGATTTTGACCAATTTGGTCTAGCGTGCTGTTACGGTTATGAGGGCAGTTGTCACTTCCCGGATGCCCTGACCAAGGAACGGTGTATCTTGAGGAGCCTGAAAAGGAAGGTGGATTAGAGTTGGTCTTAGAGACCTAGGTGCGTGACCGCAGAGCCCAAGGAACAACTGCTTGAGGCCGGTCACGCACGGCCTTTTTATGAAAGGTTTTTTGAGTACTAGTTCCGCTCTTAATGGGCACCCTTACTGCCGGAGATGGAAATCCGTGAGGTAGGGTGAAGTGTGACATTTTTAGGGTCAACCTTTTTTAACCCTTCCTTCCTGGGAAAAGGCAGCATCGCCGAAGATGCTGGTTGTCCGAGGGAAACATATTACTGCTGTCACACCCCTCTGCAGTCAGCAGTACGACTTCGCCCTCAGACCTTGAGTAGCTGCTTTTAGTCTCATTGTTCTCCAATCGACCTGCCTGGTATGGTAGAACCTTCAGGAACATAGGTTCCAGACAGTATAGCTCGGTTGGGTTTTCATGGTAGGCAAGCCCGACCACCACGTCAAGGTAGCAGCTACGGTCTGTCTGGTATTAATTGTTTAAATGTATATAAAGAAGTTGGCTAAAGTAAGGAAACGAATCTATTAGAATTGAAATGATTATGAGTTTTTTTTAGTTTATACGAATGAATGTTCAGTGGCTGCGTTAAATTCGGAGTAGGATCCATCACTTTTGTGACCCGCAGTGTGACGCCATGTTGGATATGCTATGAAATAAATTTTTCATCTAATATCCGTATATCATATTTAGACGAATCACGTTTGTGCGACGGTGATAATAAGAAGCCGAATACAGTTTAGTGGATAAATTTATTTCATACAATCATACGTACATACAATCATTTCATACAATCAACAAGAAGCATAAAGGCAAAGAGAAGCGAAGTGAAGTGGAGAAGGCGAGTGAGCCAAAGCAATGCAAGACAAGAATAAAGACAGACATGAAAAGAGTGCATAACAATTGGGAAGAATTGAAAAGGAAAGCCCAGGACAGAGTTGATTGGAGAATGATGGTCGGCGGTCTATGCACCATTAACACGGTAACAGACTTAATTAGTTTTTATCAATCTAGAGTATCTATTATATTCAAACTTTGAGACGTAAATCACTAAGACTGATTCTAACCGTAACCAAGAACATTGTGAGAAATATAAAAAGAGAAATATCTATATCCTTAAAAAGCATTGGAGAAAATGGATATGTGTCAATGGCTACATGAATAATTTGTCTTGTTGCTTTTTCTATTTACAGACAGAAAAACCTATCGAAGACTATGGCGTCATTTGAGTCATCTGCGCTCGAGGAAAAGCTTGTTTGCCATACACCTCAATTAGCATCATTTCGTGTCGTGACTAGTTTATTATTATAAATGAAACAAATATGATTGCCAAAGTTTGGGAGTTAATTATTTTTAAGAAGTTGATCCAGATAAAATTCGAACAATGATCGAGCAAAACTGATAATCAGCAATTTAACAACACCTGCAATCTGAATACGAGTCATGGTTAACAGATACGAATTTAAGAACAGAACTTCAAGCTACTTAAATACTATTCAGTAGCATGAAGATAAATTCACAAAATGGTTTGAGGTAAATGGCACTTACGTATTCGAAAAACCATATTGAAATTCATAGATTTCATCAAATGAAAGTACATTCTGTTTCAAGTTTACAGATAAATGCCTAGGTGAATTCATTTTAGGATTTTTTGATGTTATGTAGATTTTTTGATGAGTAAGATATTTTACATCTACGCATAGCTTTAAAGATTTGGTGAGAAAAGCAGCCATAACTCAAGTACTGTTCAAGAAGCTTCAGACTTCTTACTTTTCTTGATATTCTCTAATAGATTGTCGTCAAACGATCGAGTGAATCGAAAACATGACTAGGCAGGGGAGGGTAGTCCTCTAGAAATTTCATGCAGTTTGTCCCCTTAATGAATTTGAATAAAGCTTGAATAACAATTGAGGTGGAATTATATGAATTCATTTATATTTCATGGTTTCTCATCAACTGTTTACAAACATATAGATGTAATAATAGTGTAACAATGATGTATGATGATATAATGCGATATATTTTATGTACGCCAAAATGTATTCATTTCTTGAAACTTATGTATAACCCTTTGAATCTTGCTTGCAGATTAGTCAGTCAATTGCAATGTAGAACTTCGTACGTAAGTACATCATTTCATGTTGCCATACCACATCAGCAAAGAGATATAAATTGTCAATTCAAATCCAATAGTAGAAGAGGTAGTAAAGGTATTAGAAGTAATCGGAGAGGTTAGGATTAGAAGATATTATTCAAGAAGTATGATTCAGTGAGAAAAGTTTAGAAAGTCAAAACTAGAGGGGTTGAAGAATCCAGAAGATTAGGATTTGAGAGAACACAAAGAATAAATGCACCGGCGCCATTCCAAACGATTTTGAGCCATGATGTTCAACGTCTCTAACCATCGATTATTATCATCTCGCGGACCCCAACCAGGTAGCCTACACCTATCAATATGACTCAGTCCACTTGTCAATGACTTCATGGATTTGTGCCATGTTTTGGTTTGGCCGCCCCTAACTTTCTTCCAACCTATTCCTACATCGCAAAACATAGCTCGACGAGGCAGTCGGTGGTTAGGCATACGCAGTACATGTCCCAACCACCTCAACTGATGAAGTTTCATTACTTCATCTATTGATCTGCCATTCTTACCTAGTACTCGCTTCCTAACTATAGTATTACTTACTCCTGACTTTATTTGATTGCTGTATCACTCCTCCCTGTTTTTTTTACTTGAATTTGATCTTTAAATGACCTCGATTCTGTTCAAGCATATATATATATATATATCCCTTCCATTATCAATATCAATTACTATTTTTATGTATATATAGTTTTAAGCAGCTGATGAGAAGCCATAAAATATAATGAATTCATATGATTTTCTACTTTATTTATTGCTTTGACTTAATTTCAATTCAATTAAGTGAACCCACTGAATGAAATTAAATTGTACTTTTTAGCTCCACTTGTCACGTTTTTTTCGTACAATGTGCTCATTAGTGAATAATTAGCTTGGTGAGGGAATTATCAAAGTTCTAATGAGAAGACCTGACCAGCGGAGCTCAACATTGTCGAATGTAAACAGTTACTGCCAAAGTCAATGGGTGGGGTTGCGAAAAATCCCTAGGTTGATCAGAGTTAAATGTTAACGCCACTGTATGCCGGCTCAGTGGTCCAGAGGTCAATCGATTGCGCGGTCTTGAAGATATTATTCAGGAAGTATAATCCAGTGAAATAAACTTAAAAAAAGAAAGATAAAGGTGATGAGGAATTGAAAAGACTAAAACTTGAGAGAACACAAAGAATGGATGCATCTGCGCCATTCCAAACGATCTTGAGTCATGTCATTCAAAGTCTCTAACTATCGATTACTATTGTCTTGCGGACCCCAACCAGGTAGTGCATATCCACTGACATGACTCAGTCCATTTGTCAGTGATTTCATCGATATGTGCCACGTTTTGGTCTGGCCACTCCTAGCTTTCTTCTAGCCTACCCTCACATCACAAAAAACTGCTCATCGAGTCAGTCGGTGGTTAGGCATACGCAGCAAATGCCCCAACCACCTCAACTGATGAAGTTTCAATACTTCATCAATCGATCTGCTATCCTTATCTAATACCCATTCCTTCATATTGTTTATACTTAGTCTTTCTTACTATTCTCAATAATTACTGTTACTATTTGTATCACTCTGATATTTGTCTTAATGACTTTTATCTTCCTGTATTGACGTCAGTCAGTCAGATGCAATGTAGAACTTCGTACGTACGTACATCAGTTCATATGCCATAGATATAACTATCAATTCAAATCCAATAGTAGAAGAGGTAGTAAAGGTATTAGAAGTAGTCGGAGAGGTTAAGATTACAAGATATTATTCAAGAAGTATGATTCAGTGAGAAAAGTTTAGAAAGTCAAAACTAGAGGTGTTGAAGAATCCAGAAGATTAGGATTTGAGAGAACACAGAGAATAAATGCACCGGCGCCATTGCAAACGATTTTGAGCCATGTCATTCAGGTTCTCTAACCATCGATTATTATCATCTCGCGGACCCCAACCAGGTAGTCGACAATTACCGACATGGCTCAGTCCACTTGTCAATAACTTCATGGTCAGACCAATTTGATCTCGTGTGCTGTTACAGGTATGAGGGCGGTTGTCACTTCCCGGCTGCCCACACCGTGAAAGGTTGTTTCCTGAGGGACCTCATTAAAATTGATGTAGTGTAGCAGCAACTTGTACCAATACACGTTTATCATTGAATGACTACTGATTTAACAGTAAGAATATTAACAGGTAAAGAAACTCTCTAAGTATATTTCACATGTTCACATTAAAAATAATAATAATAATACTTACTTGAACAGCTGGATCAAGTGATCGAAATATCTCTTGAATTTGATCTTTAAATCCTAAACTAAGCATTTCATCTGCTTCATCCAATACAGCACATTTAATTGTTTGTGTACGTAAATAACCACGATTAATCATGTCTAGTACACGTCCAGGTGTACCAACTACAATTTGTTGACCTAATTGTAATTGTTCAATATCGGTTGATACTTGTGTACCACCAATACAAACATGACAACTAACATTCATATAATCACCAAGTGCTAAAACTACCTATTTTATTAAATAATAAGGAAAAAGAAATAAAACAACAGTAAATAGCATGTTACTGAGATTAGATGAAATGACTTCAATTGGTGTTACACTTACTCACTTACACCTGTTACACCCAATGGAGCATAGGCTGCCCACCAGTTTTCTCCAACCAACTCTGTCCTGATCTTCTCTCCAATGTTTGTTCATTCTTCTCATATCTTTCACTATTTCTCGGTGTAATATGTTCTTTGGCCTTCTTTTTTTCCTTTTGCCTTGAGGTTTCTATGTGAGCGCTTGTCTTGTGACGCAGTCAGGTGCTTTTCGTAGTGTGAGTCCTATCCACCAACTCGACAGCTTCTTCCTGATTTCCTCCTCCACTGGAATCTGGTTTGTTCTCTTCCATAGTACGTTGTTGCTGATAGTGTCTGGCCAACGAATCCGAAGTATTTTGCATAGACAACTGTTAATAAACACTTGTATCTTCTGGATGATGCCTTTCGTAGTTCTCCAAGTTTCCACTCCATACAGTAGAACTGTCTTGATATTTGTATTGAAAATGCTGATTTTGGTTTTGGTTGAAAGTTGTTTGGAGTTCTAGATGAAATGACTTTAGGAAGTGTTATGCTCGTAACCAGTTGATATGCTTGAATGCTAATACGCGTTCACCTTAGTCGATAAACGAGAGTGAAGTCAAATGATAACAGTGACACTGATAGGCTATTCTAATCCAAGCGTCCAAAGGCCCCACTAAGTAGAAGAAGTTTAGATATGGCGTAGAAAAGTGTATTCTACAAGCACCAAGAAAATATAAGGTTCACAAGTGTAGGGTTCGTCACCAGGTACGCTTGAAGCTATTACGAGTTCACCTTATTCGATAAATGCGAACGAGACAATTACCAGCATCCAGATAGGCTACCTTAAATCCCAAGCTGAAGACAAAAGGCTTTGTAAGCGTAAAAAGTATATTCTACAAACACCCAGCAATCACAGTATAATCAAGCATACAACTCTCGTTTATTTATACATCATAGAAACGTCCTTGGGACAGTTAAGAAAATAGCACACTAAAATACACAGCAGCCAATCACAGCCATGGATGGCTGCCCATGCTGGCAAACGTGAAATCTAAAATAAGGCATCTATTAGGCGAGTTCTGGGGATCTAACATCCCCAACAACAAGCACCCAGATGGAGTTTATGTATACATGATAGATACGTCCTTGGGAGAGCCACAAAATTAACGTACTAAAATAATCCATCAACCAATGACCGTCAAGGGTCTCCCGGGTGGGAAATTTAATCTCAAGATCAACTGATCAACCCATGCTCAAAAACACTAAATCCAAAATAAGGATCTTTATCAAGTGAGTTCTGGGGATCTAACACGTTCCCAACAATTGGGAAAACCACTGAAAACTAGGGAAACAGTGATGAAAAGCTGTTTTGTCTTATAGTGGAACTGCCCCACCCCACCTCATATCCACTGTCTGGTAGTTGCCTAACTCACATTGATTCATAATCTAAACAACAGTAATTTGTTAAGGATAAAAATAAGAGAGAGGATTTACAAGTCTATTAATGTTTTAGGGGAATAAGATTGACAACAATTATGTTATCAGTATAAAAGTATGTGACGACTGAATGAATGAATGATAAAACTCAAGGTTTATTTCGTTAATTGATTTGTAAAGATAAGTGTTTTTATCGTAATACGTAAGTAGTTTATTAACTATGCGATGACCATGTGTATGTGTCCCACTAATCAATTGTTTTAAGATAAATTAATAAAGTACTATTTTTCAAAATGTGACTTCAGTCAGCTACAATGTAGAAGTACGTACGCACGTACATCAGTTCAAATTGCTAAGCAGCATACGTACAAGGATGTAATTATCAATTCAAATCCCGTAGTAGTAGTAGTAGTGTGGTGTACGCTACTTATGTTCACATAAGTAGTATATGATATCAAACGGAAATCAAACGTCTGACAGCAAAAGATCGAGAAGGAAAGAATGAGAACAGAAGGCGATTTGTACGTAACGTAAAGTGAATTGAAGTCTGAAGAGTCTAAATGAAAGAACAGTGAAATCTGAAACAAACAAGGATTAGTTTGCAAATGATGATTTCACGGGGTTTTGTACATATGCTTAACAACTTTGTAATATTCGCTTAAATATGTGTGTTGATGTCCTCACCTGAGTTTTCGTGCACAACATTAGTAGTGATGGTTGTAGCTGTATTAGCAGATATTGAAAAGATAAGGGTTTGAAGATATAATTCAAGAAGTGAGATCCGGTGAAATAAAAATTTAAAAAAGAGAATGATGGAAGTGATGAGGAATTTAGAAGATTAAGATTTGAGAGAACACAAAGATTGGATACACCTGCGCGAGAAGATTTAGACGTAAAGATAAGGCGGGTGTGACGGGGGGGCGTAGGAAGGATATGATTGTGACCAATTAGGTCTCGTGTACTGTAACAGGTACGAGGGCAGATATCATTTTCTGGCTGCCCACACCGTGGAAGGGTGTTTCTTGAGGAACCTGAAAAGGAAGATAGATATAAGTGTTGGTATTAACGACCTGGGGTTGTGACCGCAGAACACGAGGGACAACTGCTTGAGGCCAGTCATACACAACCTTTTTATAAGAGGTTTTTAGAGTATTAACTCCGATCTTGTTTAAAAGCCCCTACCGCCGGAGACGGAAATCTGTGAGGTAGAGTGAGATGTGACATTTTTAGGGTCGACCTTTTCTAACCCCATCCTTCTTTGTGAGAAGGCAGCATCGCTGCAGATTCTGGTTGTCCGAGGGAAATACTTTACTGCAGTCACACCCCTCTACAGTAAGTAGTACTAATTCGCCCTCAGACCTTGAGTAGCTGCTTTTAGTCTCATCGTTCTCCAATCGACCTGGCAGGAACATATGTTTCAGCCAATATAGCTCGGTTGGGTCATCACGATAGGCAAGCCCAACCACTCAAGGTAACAGCTACGGTCAAGGCACCTGTGCGAACCCCAACCAGATAGCCAACACCTATTAAAATAGCTCAGTTGAGTTGTCAGTGATTTCATGGATTTGTGCCATGTCTTAGTTTGGAAAAATGTGACTTACAATCAAGTGATTAATATATGACAATGTTTGTTATCATCTATCATTGACAGTAAAGAATAATTATATCGCTGCAGTATGACTTCATAACAGAAATAAATCTTCATAAAATTAAACTTTGTTAAGTTAGTTCTCCTGGGTTTAATCTTTTAATGCTCTCACCAAAGATTGTGACAGTTTAACTCCATGTTCCTCTGCAAATTCATTGATCCTTTTTGTTTAACAGACCGCGGAATCATGTGACTGGTTGGTTGATTATTTTCGATATGGATTGACGGACTGACTTATGCTGATGTGTCGTTATTAAACGTAGAATAGTCTAATGATATGATACATTTATTGAACGAATCACTAAAATCTGTCATAATCTTACCTATCATCCTTCGTAAAAGCATTTGTAAACAACCTATCAAGACTTACTGCTCCATCTCTCTTTAAATTACTCATATTCTTTTTAGGTCTTCTGTGTTTGGTATAAGATCTCAATTTTTCAGTCATACTACTGTCATTATAGGACTGTGCCTCACGATTAGAAACCTGAAAGCACTAGATGGCCGTTTTATCCTAGTATAGGGCTCATCAGAAGTGCGCATCTACGACTCCCACTTCTATCGTGGACTGATTGAAGCCAGACCGGCTCAATGATCTGACCGTTAAGCGTTCGTGTGTGAAACTGAAGGTCCTGAGTTTGATTTTCGCGTGTGGTCGTCGTGGATGCGCAATGTTGATGAGGCCCAGACTATGGTGAAATGGCCACCCAGTGCTTCCAGGTTTCTAATCGTGGTCTAGCATTGATCGATTCATAATTTCAATGAAATTCATACCACTGATGAACAGTGGTCAACTAAAGCGTAGCTGTTCTTTCGCTGAACATTCACTTAAGTATTCTATCCACCTCTCTGAAGTATGAATCACAATCTCCACACTATTACAGAGAGATAAAACTGTGAGGATAAATTTCAAAGTGGTTACAGAGATCAAGTTCAGAAGATATGATTAAAGGAGAAATAATGATTACATGCATGTGAAAGAGGGTAATTTGGAAAATTAAAATCTAAAAGTAGACAAAGAGAGAATGCATTTACCCCATTGTGACCGATTGCGAACTATGTCACCCAGAATCGTCAGCTATTAGTTGCGAATATAGCACCGTTCATCGTTTGGAATCAAGATTCGTATCCTCCAACTCGGTTTAAGCGCCTAACATTCGCTTTTCTTCCTCTCAATTTCATAAACAACACCCCTGCCATGAGAAGGCAGTGAGTAGGATTTCTCTGGCAGTGACTATGTAGGTGTGGGAGAGACAGTAGACTCTACCTACTCTCGGTCGTACCAGGGTATTTGGAAGCGCTGTCAATACATCGTAATTTTTAAGGCTATATCTCACAACCATAGAACAGAAAAATTTACTATCGAGCTGTAAACTCACCATCATTTAGTCGGCGGATAGATAAGATATAATGACAACAATTATAATGAATAATTTATAAATTACCGTTTGAAGTTGTTTCGCTACTGCTCTAGTTGGAGCCAATACTAGAGCTTGACAACGTGGATCTGTTGTACAGATTTGTTGTAATTTCTCAATCCTAAATGTAGCTGTCTTTCCATTCCCTGATTGAGCTTGAGCTATTACATTACGTCCATCAATTGATGGAATTATAGCTCTTTGTTGTATTGCAGAAGGTTTTTCAAAACCATATGCAAAAATTCCACGTAAAAGATTTTCTTTTAAATTCATACGATCAAATGAATCGCATACAGTGTTATAATGGTTATTAATATCATTATCGGACTCCATCTACATACAAAAAATTATAGATAAGAACTTGAAAAAAGTAAATGTTTACAATAAGAAACAAAAATAATGTGGTGCGAGCTACTTATAAGTAGTATATGATGTGAGTGTCAACGTAATGTCTGGCAGCAGAAGATGGGGGAAGATCAAGAAAGGAAGAGTTAGAAGAACACAATGGAATTTGTATGAAACGCATGAATAGTGACAATGGATTGATGTTTTGCAACAGGAACAGCCCAGTTCGATATGATGGACTGATATTTTGCAAATTAACGATCTACGATATGGTTTTCCTATTTTACTGAGTAACTCTGTAATTTTCGTTAAATACTATCCGGTTGCCCCACCTGTGTTCTCGTTCACTACAATAATATATAAACAGAATAATATGAAAATGGCAACAATAATAATAGTGATTAAAAAGTATGGGGTAAGAAATGGGGTTTCAGGAGTTGCTGTCCCATCTTGTTGGATGGATTAATCATCATCACCGACCATGGACAACGGAACAGTATGGTCAATATCACCGACGCAGTAGATTACTGAATTGTCTCTTGAAGACTTCTGCTTATTGTCCAAGATATCAGTGGTCGTTAAAGACTGACATACCAATAGCTTCACAGGTTGTTTCAATCACTCACTCATCTTTGTTATTGAGTGCTTGATGTAGACAGTCGAATTCCAGATATCATCACTACGATATCTTTCGAATCCAGCTTTTTGCGATCATTAAAACCCCGACTTCAATATCTTGAGATGTGATTGGAGATTATGAAACAATATCATTTCTTAATCAATATCGCCTCAACTCTGCCAAGAGCCCTTCTAGGGATACTGTAGGTCTCAGGCCGGATAAAGGAGGAAGGTTCGGAATGGGGTTAGTGGCCCCATACCGTAGAAAACCAACTAGCTAAAAAAAACGCCAACCAGAAAAAATAATTCAAACCGATTTGACTCTGCCTGGGAATCGGAAATCCCTTGTTCAGAAGAGCTATGACGTCTCATGATGAAAGCCGAGTTTCTTCAGAAGTCATAAGGCCGATGCCTCTTCTGACAGCCGGAGTGACAATTAATACAGGTACATGGAATGTTATCACAATGTGAGAAACCGGAAGGACCATTCAAGTTGCTGTGGAAATGAAAATATACAACTTGGTGGTACTTCGGGTCAGTGAAATACATTGGACGCAAGTTGAACAACAAAGACTAGCTTTAGGAAAGATGCTGTCGTACTCCGTCCGTGAAGTAGAAAGTGCTCCACATACACTATTCTGGTGAGATATCTAAACACTAAGGTTGGAATAGATAACAGTAGATATGAAGGCAACGTGAGACGACATAAATTGAGAGAAAGAAACGAAAAATGTGAGCGACTCTCAAACCTTTGCGCCTTCAACAAACTGGTCATAGGCGGCACCATATTCCCACACAATAGCTTACACAAACCCACATGGGTTTCACCGGATCACACTGTACACAGAAATAAATCGACCATCGAGGATATGAGGACCAACACAGGAGCTGACATAACTTCAGATCACCACTTGGTGGTGGCCAAGATGCAGTTGAAGCCAAGCAGCATTACAAACGTCTAATGTAGCCTTTCTAGATACTGGCAAACTCATCGAATTCTAGATAGTTGACAGCAATGAGTTCCAAGCTTTTCACGATCTACTCAATGGAGAGGAAACTTCCATGAAGCAGAAGTAGGAAAGAGTCAAAAAAAAGTAATAACTACAGCTTTTCATGATGTTTTTGGGCAACAAGAACCACCATTACAAGGAATGGCTTTTTGTTGACACTCTGAATAAGATTCAAGAAAGGAAGAACAGAAAGGCAGCAATCAATATCAGCTGAACAAGATCAGAGAAAGCTATGGGACAAGCTGGATACACGGAAGCAAACAAGCAAATGAAGAGGAGCATCAGAGCTGACAAACGCAAATATGTGAGAGATCTAGCAATGACGGCGAAAAAGGCTACAAGAGAAGGAAACATGAGACAATTGTATAATATAACAAAGAAGCTCGCCGGGAAATATCGTAAACCAGAACGACCAGTGAAGAATAAGGAAAGCAAACCAATCACAGACATTGAAGAACAACGAAACAGGCGAGTAGAGTAATTTGAAAACCTCTAGCAGAGATCAACCCTATTGAACCCACCCAACAACGAGGCAGCACCTAAATATCTCACGACTGATGATCCACCAACATCGGAAGAAATCAGCATAGTCATTAGAAAGAGAAGCAGGACCTAACAAAATATAGCTGAGGCACTGAAGGCAGGCATAACAGTAACTGCAACGATGTTTTACGCTCTGTTTAACAAGATTTGAAACGATGAACAAGTGCGGACAGACTGGAAAGAAGGACATTTCATCAAGATACCAAAAAAAAGCGATCTTAGCAAGTGTCAGAACGACGGATGTATCATACAACTATCAGTCTTTAACAGTGTTGTTAAACCGAATGAAAGATTCAGAGGGCTGGATTCCGTTGGGATCAATCGTGTACCGACCAAATCGCCCGTAAAACTACGGATCATTGTGTGACAATCTATTGAATAGAATCCATTACTCTACAATAAATTCATTGACTAGGAGAAGGCATTCAACAGCGTGGACAGGAAAATACTATGAAGGTTTTCTGAACACTATAGTGTGCCTGAGAAGATAGTCAACAACATACAGAATTTTTGTGATGGGTTTAAACTGTGAAATCGTGCATGGAGGATAACACACAGACTCATTTCAAGTGAGGACTGGTATCAAACGAGGTTGCTTACTTACACTTTCTCTTTCTCCTGGTGATTAACTGGATTATGAAGACGTTAATATGTGAGGTTAAGAATAGATTAAGATGACAGCTGAGATGAAGCTGGAAAATTTGTAATTCGCAAATGATCTAGCCCCTATATCCCATAAAC